AGAATTGGAAGGAATTGAAGAAAAGAGACCCTAAAGACAGCATAGTTCTGTATAACACTTACTCGAGGAATATAGCAATCAGTAACTTTTTTGGCTGAAAGTAGCAGAAAGTTCAACTGTAGTGGCTTAAACAAGAATGCTTTTCTTCATTATAACAAATTCAGAGATAGGCAGCTGTATGTATGCATTTGGGAGTCCCATGTAATCAGAACTGACATCTGTACACTTCCTTGGTCCTTCTCTCTGAAGTTGAAGGTTGCAACTACAGCCGATAATATCCGCACACAAAACAAGAAGTAGAAGACAGGGAAAATTGTAGCACCATGACAGCAACACTGTCCCAGCAGCTTCTCACCTGCTTCCAATTTAATTGTCATTGGACAGAATGGGTCATATGATCAGACAATACTGGGAAGAAGGGTTTGAAACTGGGGATTGTGTGAGATGTGTCTATCTAGTGTCTGCCTCAGCAGAAAGTTTTAAATAACATCAAATACAAAAGGCAATAAACCTCTGCTATAAAACTAGAAGAGAGAACAATCAAAATCCAGCTTTAAATTCAAGGTTTTTAAAAACTTGATGCTGGCTAAGCAACTAAATTCAAAAGGCATTTTTCCAACTGTATCTTATGTATATATATATAAAATAGTAATAACAGAAATAATAGCAGCTATTAGAATAAAAGCATAATAAGAATAATGGGTTATGGTTTATGAAGCCACATACTTTAACTTCTTTGATTGCCTCTTTGAATATAGGCTTTTATATAATAGACAACTAAGGTACACAGATAGTAGGGTACTTAAAGTCACATAGAAAGGAGATCCATAATGAGAAACTCACAATATAGGTTTATTAACCCTTACCTACCTTTCTGTACCAATTAGGGTTTTCAAGATCAAGAAGAACTATACAACGTAAAGCTTATATTGTGATAATGTTTGCATGACCTGTGTTTGTAAACTTGGTAAATAAAGTGAAGCTTGTACTTCATTTATACTTATTATTCCCTCAGTGATAAAACTTACATCCAGAAAAAGTATTCTATTTTCATTTCAATATAAAGAAAAATAAAATGGAAATTACTCACTTAAAAAAACAGAACAGCCCTTCTATAGTGAAAATTAAACATTAATTAAAAACAACCATTATTTTTTATTTCATAATTTAGCCCAGGTACCTAACATATTGACTAGAATTACTCCTAAATGAATGTTAGCTGAACAAATGAATAAATTAACTTTCTGAAACAACTTACTATAATTTTATTGCTTTTTAAAGTTAATCTATCTTTTTCAATTTTCAGTAACTTGGAATAGGCTCTAAATATGCAAAATGCTATTGAATCGCTATAATTTATTCAAGGTTAGGAAATTACTGATGCTGAAATATAAGGTTAAACCCCATATGAGTGTCTATCAATTATTTGGCCTACACTAAAAACTAAACCCATTTTACCAATGAAATGTGCTTACAAATGCTATAGCTGGAGTTTGTCATACATTCTGGGACCCAAAGGATTCAGGAGACAATAAGCCCCACTTATCAGCCCCTTGTTAAAGCACATACAACTATTTTCTCTTTTCGCTTTAAGAACTTTCTCAGGGTACCTGGTAAAATACTTTGGCTTTCCACAACAATTTTTTTCAAAATTTTACAAATACTTTAAAAATTGTCCTTGAAAAGTAAGATACGCATGGATATATTTTGTGCCTTAGGAAATGAGAGGCTAAGGAAGTTCATAAGGTGACACAGCTAATGGAAACAGAATTAATATCTCCAGGATTTGACCTGACTCTGCAACCAGATCATGTCCTCTTTAACTCACTTTTGAAAACCAAATCAGAATCCATTGTGTTTTGTAGAAAAAAACAAAAGACTGGCAATAATATTGGATTCATTCCATTAAAACTTCATATATTATAATCATAAAAGAAGATTGAAATGATATTTCACTCTGGACTAATGAATTTATTGGTTTCAGGATTGTTGCATTGCATATTTGTAGCCATCACTTGTTTAATGGTAGCCACTATATAAAACCTAGATTCCTTTATTGAAAATATACAAAAATGCTTGTAACACGTTCAAGTTTTTGTGCACACTGATGCTGCCAAAATAGTAGTGATCTGATGCTGTTTTAATGTAAGAAAGTCTGATATGGTTGAAAGAGGAAAGATTTTGAAGGCAGATACAAATGAGTTGGTGTACCAAATCTGCAACAAATTAGCCACGTGGTCATCAGTGAGACTCACTGTCTTTGTGTGCAGAGTGCCCAAATCATCAGCTGGGATAATTAAATGAGCTCGTAGATAAAAAACGCTTAGTGTTACATTCAGCCCATGGTGATTCTTCATTAAATATACACAAGAATTATGGTAATTTACTCCAACAAATATTTATTGACTGCTTTACAAGAGCTCAGTGCTATACAAGTATGTTTTTACAGCTTACTAATCATTGCATTTAAGAAGAAAATATATAGCTTAATTTCTTCAATCAGGATTTCTCAGCCTCAGCACTGCTGATATTTTGGCAGATAATTCTTTGTTGTGTGAGGCTTTGCTGTGCACTGTAGTAATTTAGCAGCATACCCGGCCACCACAGGCTAGATGCAGTAGCATCCCACCCTGCCCATTTATCACAACCAAAAATGTCTCCGATGTTACCAAATGTCTCCTGGAGGGCAACATTCCCTCCATTTGAGAACTACAGCCCTTGATCAATCCTATGTAAGGAGTGTTCGAGATCTGCTCATCCTAGGAGATTCTCCCCAAAAGATCCGTGGTCAAATAAGATGAGAAACATCACATACCAACAACAGTATAACAATGATAAATGACTTTTGGAACCACACAGCACATGGCAAACTGTTCTTATCTTATTTAATCCTCAGACCTAGAAGTTACTTACTATCTTAAGGCACATTTTCAAAATGAGGAAATTGAGGATCAGAGAAATCAAGTAACTGACAAACATTATACAATTAAATGGTACAGCTAGGGTTTGCTTCCAAGCCATCTCCAAAGTCTGCAAAATTATCTACTACACAGTCTTGATCCTTGAATATCCCACTTTTTAAATTAAAATCAATTTGGGGTGTTAAGGCTAATTATCCTTATATTTGTGATGTTTATTAGGTACAGGTATTTATCTCCAGTACTTACAAAATTACCTTTTGTTTTAATCAACTGATAACAGTGTTCCAATTATTTGCTAAATGAGCATCTTCATAAACATCCTTGGATGCAGGTAAAGTCACTTTCCCTGGCAATGTTAATCAAAATAACTTCAGACAAATTCAGCTGGCCAGGAACTGTGGAAGGAGAGACTCACTCCTCACTCTGCTTGAGGGAGGTAGAAATCATTTAATAAAGGAGACAATATTTGAATTGGACCTTTTATCATCATATTAAATTTGGATGAATAAGAGCCTGCCGGGTAGAAGGTCATTCCTAGCAGATTAAACGGGATATGCAGAGACCTGGGTAACTTAGAGAGTTTGATATATTTGAGGAATGGTGGGAGTGGAAGAAAGAAAACAGGAAAATAGAACTAGAGAGAAGGCTGGGTTCTGCATTAATATCTGGGGCTTGACTCCTGTTGGTATTTGTCCTTATCACCTTTGCTGTAAGGGCAGCAGACAGCCAAGAGCACAGTAGGGACATGGTCAGATGGGTACTTGATGATCACCGAAGTGTATTTTGTTTGATGGCAGGGAGACCCAATTAAGACACTAATGCAATGCTTTCAGTGAGAGATAATGAGCTAGGGTGGAATGAAGGGTCAGATTTGAGAGAGTTTATTACAAGAGAAGCAGGGCAGGGAATATCCTCCTCTCAAATGGGCTGTTAGAGCAAATAAGTAGAATTTATTTTTGGAAAGGCTGTCTTTGTGAAACCAAAGATGCATTTCCAAGAAAATAATCTGGGAGTATGTTTAGCAGCTGTTCAGGTAACCTGGAGGATTTGCAGTAACATAGCTCAGATTCCACAAATGCTCTCCTGAAAACTTGTTCTTGTCCCCATTCAGATTTCCCATAGAAATTGAATATCTCGTGATTGTTAAGTGGAGATTCAGAGCTAAAAGTTGGATTCTGAGTTGTACTACTCCCTTTTTAGTCCAGACTATTTTGTCAATCTCCTTCTAACCATGTCACTTGGGAAAGATGAGTCAGCATTAGTGGAGATTCAACCAAATGTATTTGAGAAATGATGAGCCAGCCAAAAATGTGGGGAAGAGATTAGTTCCAGACACTCGATAAATAGTTGTTGAATTGGGTGAATTAATCAAATGTTGAATTCACTTAATTAACTTTTGGCTTAAGCATGTAAAATAAGACTAATAGAAGAAAGAAAGAAAGAGAGCAAGAAAGAGAAAGAAAGAAAGAAAGAAAGAAAGAAAGAAAGAAAGAAAGAAAGAAAGAAAGAAAGAAAGAAAGAAAGAAAATCTTTTAAAACTTCTATTGTAGTTTTCCTCTTTCCTTTTTTACTGAAATAGCTAATGGATCACTACCCGAAAATACTCTAGCATAGTACCAAATGGACTTTTAATGCTATGCATTATGCAATACATTTTTACTTTTACTATTTAAATCCAAAATGAACATATAGTCCAACACATTTAACCTTGTTACTTTTTCCAAACATCTTCCTCAAAGTGTCCTTTAAGTTTTTTTTGTCTAATTTTAGTTTGCTTAAGATGAAGCAATTTATTTTAACATGGATACAAAGATTTTATAATCCCATCCCTGGCAGTTTAGAAGAAACGATTTTTTCTACCACATTTTAATGATTTCTGTAATTGTGTCTAAATTCACAATGAGTAAAAATATCTGCTGTTTAAAGAGTGCTATTAGGTACACTCCTAATCATCAAACCTATTTCATTTTGTAATAGAGAAGTGTTTTCCCACATTGAAAATGTAATTTCATTTCTGCAATAAAAGAACTATTATTCTTAATGTTCTTACACATTCTTCTTTTTATGTGAACATTTTAGGTGTATCAATATATGCATGAAACGATAACTGTTAATGGCTGTCCCGAATTCCGTGCAAGGGCAACAGCAAAGGTAAGGCTTGAGTAACTTTAAAAATATACTTGACCCCAGTTATCTAGTAATTGATTGTGCGCGTGTGTGTTTCAGGTATTCTCGTGTGTACACTGTAAGAGAATTTAGACATCAGTGGCAGCCCAGAGTCTAGAACCAGTACTACTTCTCAGGTAAAAATCCTAATGGAAAATTGAACTTTTCTGCTGCTTCTGTAGCTTAAGAAAGGAGAATGATTTCATTAAACTCACTTAATGTCCATTTGGCACAAGCAAATCTACTGGTTCATTGTATGAAATACTATATGATTTTCTGACACATTGTTCTGATCCAAAAGAACCTGTATTGTATTCAGTGCATGAAGATTTATTTGCACCAGTCTAAAGATTTGATTTCAATTAGACAGGAAAAGAATTCCCTTGACACTCACTGATCTAGTATACTTCTCTGTATTCAGCAGAGCAGTGGAAGGGTGTAGCATTGACCTGTATGTAGAAAAGGCCTGTCACCTTTTATGGTGGTGACCACATCTGCCCTTTAAAAACTCAAATCCAGAGGTTGTAGAGACCTTACTAATAAAAGTGTTATACCAATAGGATCGTGAAATTATCAGGAAAATAGACCATTAGGAAATATCAATTTTAAACTAAAATCACTGATGCAGCTCTTCTTTTACAAACACACAAATGTTGTAACAGAAACATGACTTGCTTTTAAAAATACTTTATCTTTCTAATATTGTATAAAAAATAACCATTGAATAATAAATGATTACAATTTTCCATTTAATTCTTTTGTGTTACATCAACGCTTGTTTAGTTTCTCTCTTGATTTTTTAGTTTTTACTCTGTAACTGAACACTGTAGATTTGTAAGGTGTTTTTTTTTTTGGTAATTTTATTTTGTTTTGTTTAAACTCAGGGAAAAAAAGAGGGTGTTATTATCATTGCGTCATGCTTTGCTTGTACTGAAGTGGAACACACACAGAAAAATGATCCCTACGTGGTTTAATTAAGGGGAAAGTGAATTGTGTAGTGTTTTACCATTCTCATTTCTTATTCATGTAGAACAGCAGGATAGCAGCATAATGTTGCAATAGCACAATCTTTTCTGGTTGTTTCTGGGCTGTCTGCATTGCATCCATGTCAGCCATTAAAACCTATGCATGACAACAAGGTTTGCATGAGCAAATGCATGTAGCTAAAAACAAGCCATTGTTTTCATATCATTCACTATGTTTCACTTAAATGCAGACAGTAGCATAATGCTAAACTGATGTGATAATGCTGTGTGTGGAAAAGAATGTACAGTAGTCGGGAATAAATATTTTCACATTGTTGAATAAGTCACTTTATAGTAGGCATCTAATCAATTGTGGTCAAGGTGAATTAATAAAAATGAAAAATAGGAAGCAGGCAGAGAATCTTTTCTTGATAGAAACTACCTAAATGCTGTGATTTTAGTTCTATGAGGTTAGTGGGAACTAATGGTAAGTTGTTTTCTTGAACTTATTTAATGAAATTAGTACATGAATTTTAAAACAAATTATGTCTACATTAAATAATGTTTCATATATCTATGTATAAAACCATCGACTGTTCATGTTGCCTATTTTGTTATAATAGTTGAAATATTAATATATAATATATAGAGAAAAAATCCTGTTCCATATAAGATTTCTCAATATGAAATAATAATATGGAATATTGGCATAAACTAACAATAATCTGCTTGAATCTATTATGTTATTTTAGTTTTTATTCCTTTTAAGGCATCCTTAATTTTTTAAAAAACTTAAATTTGCTAAGCCTGTGGTTTGACAAATAGCAAGATTACATATATATTCAAAAGTATATATACATGTAAGTGCTCTTTAATTTATTAAAAAAAAAAAACTTACGAACTTTTATCTGCAAGCACCAGCATCAGATTAGACTCTGTTTCATACAAAAGAGTGCAAGACATCATCTCAGCTCTTAAGGTGCTCATAGTACATGTTATACATGTAACATATGTATAAAATAATTATAATAGTAGATAGTACACATAACAAAGTTATTTGGAATCCAGGAAAAGGAAGAATTGCATCTAACCAAGGTAACTGGAAAATATTTTTATGAAGACAGGAAAAATTTGTTATCCCAGATAAGCCCTAGGAAGCTGGAAATAGATGAGTGGGGCTTTACCAAAGAAAGAAATCATAGATGGCATCTAAATGAAGAAAGGCCTCTCTTTTTTTTGTTCTTTCTTTCACAGGAGAATACTATAAAAATAGGAAAAGTTGCCTGCGCTACCCACTGCAAAGCATATGATTGGCCTTATTTCCCTCAATTTATTACCAAAAGACCATCTTTTTTTTTTTTTTTTTTTTTTTTTTTTTTTCAGGCAACAGTTGCAGCTTTTGCAGCTAGCGAAGGCCACTCCCACCCTCGGGTAGTTGAACTGCCAAAGACTGATGAAGGCCTGGGTTTTAATGTGATGGGAGGAAAGGAGCAAAATTCCCCCATTTATATCTCTCGCATCATTCCTGGAGGGGTGGCTGAAAGACACGGAGGCCTCAAAAGAGGAGATCAGCTGCTATCAGTGAACGGAGTGGTATGTTTATAAAAGAACCAGAGATTTTCTCCTTAAGCACATTCTTTCTTTTTTTTTTTTTTTTTTTCTGCCATTACCAAAGTAAATGCTGAAAGCCCAGAACAAATATTAATTTTGTGTCTAAACAGCTTTCTAAGCATTGATAGATATTAAGCCTATAAAAGCTATAATCTATTTTTTATGTTTCATTTCATTATGTTCAGTTATGATAAATATCAGTGAGTTGAAAAAACATCCCAGGAAATTAATCCAACTAGCAGAATTTCTTCCCATAATGTTCCAAGTAACATTTGCAAGAAAACAGTAATTTCAAGATACTTTTATCCTAAGTTACTATAAGCAAATACATACATTTTAAGAATAAAGATAAAACACCTAACTTTGTAATGTGTGTGGGTTTTTCATTTTAAGGGTAATTTTAGTGTTTATATAATAATAACATATATGAAAAAGGCTAATGGACTCAAAATTCTTGAAGCTGGATCTACAGCTATAGTATAATAATATAGTATAGAAGCATATATTATGAATAGGTAATTTAATTAAACTTTTTTGGGAGAGGCTAATATAAACATATTATTTATGTTATATATATGCTAATATAACATAAATAATATGTTTATATTAGCCTCTCCCAAAAAAGTTTGGTTAAATTACCTATTCATAATATATGCTTTTGTTTTTAAAGAAAATTAGAGAAAATTAAAATATGGAACAATTTAAAGTATGAAGATACAGTTTTTCATAGCTTATATTACCTAGATGCCACCACCTCCACTTGTAATAATGAGTTGGTAAAGAAATCACTTCCTATGAAATGAATAATTTTCTCCCTATAACTTCCACTTATATTAAACATAAATTATCTAAAAGCATACATTTCAGAAATATAAACAGAAACATATCAATGTTTACCTTTTTATTAACCTAAGATCTTTTTTCTAAGAACTTAAACATTTTAATATATAAATCAGATTTCAGTTATTTGGGTCCAAAATAATTTAGGCTTGGAACACAATATCCAAAATAAAATGCAATTGGAACATGATATTTTATTGGTAACTATGGAATGAAATTCTTCTGTATTCATATCTTGAATTTTGTTTATTTATTTTTTATTTTTAGACTGACTAGTAGTTTCATAAAACCCAAAACTATTCCTTCAACTCTGCTGTCCTCCAATGTATGTCAAAACTCTCACCCCATGAATATTTTATATCACTTCAGCATTCTAATTACTATGTACTTTTTTCTATGTAATAATGTTTTGAGATAAGCTTTTTATTGACCTTAGATAACTGTGACTTTTTCAAAGCATGTTTCAAGTGATAATTTCAGAGTCAAACTTTCTGGTAGAGGACTCTAGAGCTAGGTCACACAATTATGTCACTCAGAGGTTTATGCCCCAGAGTATAAACTTACAATTCCTCTAAATATACTTTATAAATCAAATAAGATATAGATTTTAAAACAGTATGAAAAGTACAGAACAACTCATAATACATTAACAGTAATTATAATTGTGTAAAGTAACAATAAATATATACATACACATATATATGCATATATATGTGTATATATATATATATATATATATATATAAAATAAATGTAGTATGTGGTTGACTTTGAACTTTCTTATAAGGGAGCTAAACAGACTTTGTTTACCATAAATATTTGCAAGGAACACACTGTAGGCATTTCATAATTAGTCACCCATTCCTTGCAATGACCTTGTGCTATACCTGGGCGGTGGCAGTTACCTTATCTAGAATCAAATATGCAAGGTTCTACCACCCAATATTCATATAATTATGGATTACTATCTCCTAAACTTGAATTTCTTTGCCTGAAAAAAGGAAATAGTACTAATTTAAAGGGCAATGATGAAGAATGAAATGAGGCAAAATGTCTTTTTATATGCCAATTGGGTCATATAAACCTTTGACGGGTAAATGTGGCTACTGGTGAAGGTTGAAGTTGGTGAAGATTAACAACCTCCCAGTGATACTGCTTTTGCTACTTAGATTAAAAGTAAGTCTTACAGCAAATTCTGCTGCATTTATAGGCATATGTTAGCAAACATTTATTAGCAAGAAGGCAGTGTTCGACACACAACTTCTTTCATAAATTTGATAAAACTCCAGGTCTCTGTCCATTTAGGTGTTCTAAACATAACCTTACATAAAGGTTCACTTGAGGCAGATGATTCACTTGAGCCAGGCCAGGATTTTGTTACCTTTATATTCAGCGTCAGACAATCAGAAATCCTGTTAAGACTGACAGCTGAAAATAAGGTAGTTTAGTAATCAAACTTTGGCCCTTCATCATATGGCGTAGGCCATGGGCCTCCCTGAGATTTTTATATCCTCTTCATGCAAAGGTGAGGAATGTCTCCAAGATTTTAATATTCCACATATATTTAAACCTTTAATTTTACCAATTAAGTTCCATTTATACATTTACCTTGCTAGCTAATGGGCCACTAAATTCACCAAAGGAAATCCATTTCTGACATATTCTTGCTAATCAGTAAAGCAGCATTTGTTCCTTGACATTAGGTACAACAAGCTGCTCGTATAGTGGCCACCTCTAGAGTATTGCCTTTCCAATATAATCCTGGCTAACTACCCTAGACTGGTTTATTAAGCTCCTAAAGTGGAAGGTTAATGTATTACACATTCACATAATCAAACTATATATTGTAAGCTACCTATTTAAAACTGTTTAAAAGTAAGTTATGTGATGTTTAACAATGCCTAATGTATACCAGGTGTTCCTCAGAAAGCAGTTTTCTGTAAATTAGAGACTTTATGACCCAATGACTTGTTCACAGTCACACAAATAATACTTAATCCAATACTAGAACTCTGGGTTTCTAACAAACACCGAGTCCAGAGGTTTTATCAGTGTAAATAATTCTAGGCAGGTAGCAATATTTAGTGAAAAAAAAAATTATTCTGTAATGGAAAGGCCAAAAAAAGAAAAGTTTAACAAATGATGGAATGATTTATATTTCTACCTTGAAATAAGTCACCATTTCAGGAGATTAAATATGGAAGATTTTTAGAGCATGCCATTCTAAACTCAGAAATTTTGAAAGGAAGTGCTTGGGAGGTCTAAAAAACCTTAACTACTTTAGTATAAGTACTCTGAAAAAAATATCTAACTGTCCTATTTAAAAAGTAAAGAAATTATTCCATGGACATTTAAACATCAGAGAAGACATCTGATGTGATGTCCTGATTATCTTTGATTGTTTGTCTCATATTATATTCTGCATTTAGAAAAAGGGTATATTATGAGTCTGCATATGCATATATATATATGCATATATATACACATATACATATATATATGCTAATACAGAGCTATTAACATCATGGAATGTTAGGTTATAAAGTGTGATGGGAAGGGAGAAAATCAATAAATAGAAATAAAGACAAAATACAGCAATGGAGCAATTGATTTTTTTCTCCCAGCTTTTTAGAAGTCAAAACAGAAGGAAACTCATGCCAGCTCAACTATCATTGGAGAGAAAATTTTTCTCTATCCCTAGGTGCCAAGAGAAATTTCCCCTGGGAATGTTACAAATGAGACATTGAATTACCTAATACAATTTCACAGAAAATACAGAGGCCTTTGTGTATGGCTACTTCTTATGTCAATCCTCAGTGAAACCTTAAAGCCGAATGCTGAATTAAAATTTAACATTAATAGGAGGTCAAAATGTTACAGTAAGAATTTACAGCTTTCTAATGATCTCCTTTTCACCCTTTTATACTCAAGTGTTTTCTCAACAATTTTAAGAAAGGACTCAAGGACTGTTTATAAAGGTTGCAGCCAATGTGGAGCCAGCAGCAACAGTAAATATATTCAGTGATCGAGTCAGGATACAAAAAGTCTCAATAGAATGGTACAATAGGCCTATTTTAATAAGAATCTTCACGAAGTCCTACTCCTGTGCCCAAAAAACTAGCTACATATATGCAGAATCAGGGAGGAATAGCTAAATATCAAAGCCTGGGGAAAAAAATCTTAGGAGATTTCAATGTTGATTTCAAGAGGAATATAACGCAAGTTGAGCAAGGGGAACAAAAAATAATGTGATTGTAGGGGCACCGATAGAAATAATCTTGCATAGAACACAGAAAGAGATTGGTCCAGCTCTTGAGTGTACTGTTTTCTTTCTTTCCTTCCTTACTTCCTTCTTTCCTCCCTTCCCTTCTTGTCCCTTCCCTTCCATTCCTTCCTTCCTTCCTCTCTTTCTTTCTCTCTCTCTTCCTTCCTTCCTTTCTCTCTTTCTTTCTTTTTTGACATGGTCTCATTCTGTCACCTAGGCTGGAACGCGGTGGTGCAATCTCAGCTCACTGTAACCTCTGCCTCCTGGGCTTAAGCTCACACCCTATTGTGCTCTAATCCTCTTGCAAAGAAAAATAGTCTTATCCAGAGATGAGCAATCTTGGATATGAGGAACACGTTAAAGAAGGACTTGGGTCGTTTAGGGTGAAGAAGAGAATATTTAGGGGAATGATGACTGTCTCCAGCTATCATCCATTGTATGTGGCACCAGATGGCAGAACCAAGACCAGTGTGTAAAAGTCATGAGGAAGTCATCTTATTATAATAAAGAGCTTTTAAACACTTAGAGCTCTTTAAATGGAGAAAGACTAAATAATAAGGTAAAAGGTGCCCATCAGTTTTAATCAAAGAGTAGGATACCACCTGATGAGAGTATTTCAAAATATGAGTACCATGGAGAGAGCTGGAACGGCTGGCCCCAAGGTCCCTGCTAAGTCTGTGACTATGTATTCCATGTCTTCCAATGGGATTTTACTGAAAGTACCATATAACCCTTCCCCCACCAACACACACACACACACACACACACACACACACACACACTCATACCCCGCCTTGCACTCTGAGGTAGGTGAGTAGGCTCTACCTATGTTCTGTGTACCTATTCATAAGACATTTTTCCTGAATGGAAAGATTAGA